GGATTGATACAATTGAATGGCCCCCACACTCGCCTGACTTAAATCCACTAGAACACCTCTGGGATATCATGTTTAGGTCCATCTGAAGCCGCCAGCTTGTACCTCATACTGTCCAGGAGCTCAGTGATGCCCTGGTCCAAAAAAAATCAAACGATGGGACATCCTTGCGTTCCTAACACATTACCTAGTCCATATCAGTATAGATATCCAGCGTGATATTTTTCCCAATTGAAATCTGATGTGTTTTCAAAGTGTTCCTTTCATTTTTTTGATCAGTGTATAAATAGTATAGCATAAAAAATAAGAGTCATAAAAAATTGATCTGAAATTTCACAATGTTATCCATAGTTCAGTTTTCATTTTTTTTTTTTAAATAATAATTATTTTATTCTATGTTGTCAAAAATTGGACCTCCCTAAGTGAATTGACCATTTATTTATTTCTATTTTATTTTTAAGATTATTGATAATGAGTAAAAAGTATTTTTACTAACTACTCTGCTATCCTAGATTGTAAGCTCGAAAGAGCAGGGCCCTCGATCCCCTCATGTTTTGCATTGTATTGGTATTGTTCTGTCACATGTTCTGTTCCCCTTTGTAATGTACAGCGCTGAGCGAACTATTGGCACTGTATAATAATAATAATAATCCTATTACCTTTACACAAGTCTGATGCCATGGGGCTAATGCAAAATAAGATATTTCGCAATTTGACAGAGATAAAATAAAAAAAGAGTACACCGGCATAATGCAGAGTCCACTTTATTCACATTAAAAATTGTAAGACCCCTTTCACACTGGCATGCTTTTGCGCTAAAACGCACCTTTTCAGTGCGACAAAAGCAAATGAAAAATATTCCCCTTTAAATCCTATGTAACTCTTCACAGCAGTGCCCTGCATTTTAAAAAGTCCTACATGCTGCATCTTTCGTGCGCTTTGTAAAAAAAGCAATAATGCACCTTTCCTTGAAGTCAGTGGAAATGCACCAAAAAACGCTTTTTTTTTTTTTTTTTTTTGTATATCCTTTTTTTAAATGTTCTGGCTGTTAAGAGACCATCACCCACTGGCATCCTTAACAACCAGTATATAGCTTGTTGTTAAGGAGCTGGCGCCCTATATTTTTAAAAAATGTGTTTTCCTCCAAATGTATAACCTTACATTTCATTTTGTGTTTTTTTTTTTTTTTTTTTTTTTTTTTTTACTAACAACTTGTTACTGGAAACTTTATTTGTCATATTTTTATGGACGCTTACAGGAGATTTTTTTCAATGCGCTAATATAATTTTTTATGTGCTTTCAGTACAACATATACAGCTACAATGTCATTTTTTTCAGCTGTAAATAAAAAAAAATCCTATGTATTCAAAGTGCCCATAAAGCACTTAGATTTAAAAGGATAAGTTCAATTTTTTTGCAGGTAACCCTGCTCCTTGGAACTTACACTCTAAGAGATTATATATATTAAAATTGGAATTTTAAGTTTTCAGTTTCACCATAATAGTTCATTTGAAATGAAAAAGACATCTACATATTTTTGCAAATATACGATTCAAATAAATAAATATCTTGATTCTTTAAGTAATCTCTCTTTGCTGTGAAACTATAAGTTCTGGTGCAGCAAAATGTCTTCAGAAATCATATTACTAGTTGCATAGAGATTCACATTGAGGCTAATTTAATAAAGGTAAATAGGCTGTTCTTTTTGCAAAAGTTTCAATTTGCATGGGAATTTTCACTTAGCTTAATTAATTTGGTAAAAATTAACTTTTCAAAAAATACCTAATCACATTCAAGGAAAAATAAAAAAACAAACAGTATTTTTGCTTGCACGTGGTTGGATGATGGAAGTCGGCAGCGCTTCACCTGTTTCACTAAGCTAAGGAAAATTCATTTGCAAAGTTAAAGGATAAGTTCACCTTCTATAACATGTTACAGTACATGTTACCCCCGTATTCAGGGTGTAACATATAACATGTTACTGTTGCTGCAGCCCCCACACATCCCCAACCCCCCCATTGTGACAGCAGGTTGGGGATCTTCTCCTCGCACCCACTGTTGCAATTTAAAAAAAAAAAAAAAACTGTGCAGGGCGTCATCCACCCAGCCATGTCATTCATTCGCACAGTTCTGTGAATGGGAGGACTACGCATACCGAGAGCCTTTGTGACTGATGGATTGTAGTTCTCAATGAACAACCAGGGTGCTATTGAGCACTCTAGGTAGTTCATTGATGTTTTCTGTCATTCAATAACTGCCTGCCCATATGAGGTATTCAGCAGACAGATACACTGACAAGTCTGCAGGAGCCGGATATTGCATCGTAGGTGCAATGCTTTACAGGCTCCAAATAAAAAAAAAAAAACCATAAATGCACATTTTTTTGCCTGCAAAAAAGATGTGCATTTTTTTTTTTTTAGGGTGAACTCAGGGGCGGACTGACAACTCATGGGGCCCCCGGGCAATAGGGGATCATGGGTCCCCTGTGTCCTTGCCCAAACTCAAAAAAGCCTATGAAAAAGGTACCAGGGGCATCTCATGGGGCCCCCTACTGACCCGGGCCCTCGGGCAGCGCCCGAGTTTCTAAATGGTCAGTCCGCCCCTGGGTGAACTTATCCTTTAACAGCCTATATGAATTTAGTGACTCAACCTCTTTATCTCAATAAAAGGATACTTGTGTACACCTGGGTATTTGTTGCAAGATTGCTTGTTCGCTAATGGTCCCCATCCAAAGGTTGTGCAAGTTGTAGCTGTAACTACAGACAAAAATGATTATGGCTAAATGGTTAGCACTTTCCACCTGGCAGTACTAGGGTTGTTGGTTCGAATCCCAGCCACGGCACCACCTGCCTGGAGTTGCATGTTCTCCCTGTGCCTGTGTGGGTTTCCTCCGGGTACTCCGGTTTCCTCCCACACTCCAAAGACATGCAGGTAGGTTAATTGGATCCTGTCTAATTGGCCCTAATATGTGTATGTATGAATGTGAGTTAGGGACCTTAGATTGTACGCCCCTTGAGGGTTAGAGGCTGATGTGAATGTACAATATATATGTGTAAAGTGCTGCGTAAAATTGACAGCGCTATATAAGTACCTGAAATAAATAAATTATACTGAGGGATGATGTATCACCTGCATATTTGCATTCTTATTGGATTAAAATATTTATTTATTTATACAAGTACCTGAAATAAATAAATAAAATATAGACAAACCTTTTTTTTTTTTTTTCAGTTTTGGATAGACTAGGAACGGTAAAAACCCTGTCAGTTCACTCTTTGCTGACTCTGTCCCCCAGCTTTCATTTCAGAGAGAGAGATTTACTAAAGAGGTTAAACATTGTCTTTGAAAAAATTATGAGAATACTCAGTCAAAATATCAATTCATGTGAAAAGCATCTGCATATGATTGGGTATTCAAAGTGGTGAGGATTTTGCTTTTCACATGACTGGATAAAGCAAATAAATATTCAAAATTTTTTAGTGACGATACTAAACTTCTTTACAAAATCGGCCGCAGTGTGGTTGATTTACTAAAGACAAATAGGCTGTTAACTTTGAAACAGAATTTTCCCTAGGTTTGTGAATGTGGTGAAAAGTCACGAAGCAAAGAAAAGCTAATCACGTCAAAGAAAAATTTAAAAAAAATGCTAAATACACATGAAATTCATATAAGAGAGCTGTTTTGCCTTCCAAATATTTTGTATTTCTGTTCATCCAGTCCTGAGGTTTCCACAGCTTAGTGCAGGCAGCCAGCAGTCTTGAATTTTCTCTACTGCAGTTAAAGTGTTACTAAACCCACAACAGTAAAATCAGTCTGTATATGCAGTAAAGCATGCTTGATATACACAATGTGGAACCTAAGGAGTTAATCCTCTGCATAGTGTAAAAAAGGCTGTTTTGATCCTGACTTCTCTGCCCCTCCTCTTGTTCAAATGTCCACGCTGATAAGACAGACTGAACCTGTAGCCCTTCTGCACATGCTCAGTTTAGTGTGTATTGCTAGAGAGGTATTTTTTTTTCTTGGGAAAGCGCATGTGATCAGCACTGTGCAGACTGAGGTCAGGGGCTTTGCATCCTTCTAGATCAGAAAGAAAACTCCTCCTACAAGGTTTAACCAGTGCTCTGCTGAACACTGATAGAAGTCACAAGACTGCTCTAACTGCTGTTGAGAAAAGGTATTTAGCAGTTTATATTTACTAAAATGATTGCATTTCCATGTTGTGTGTACTGTGGGAGACCAGACATAGTGACTGCAGGGTCCTGGGTTTAGTAACTCTTTAAGTAATACAAGTAGGTCTTGCCCATGCCCCAGCCTGTGATTAGATAGGTGAAGGGGAAGCAGCACACTGGTGAGCTCATCGTTCTGTCACTGCTCTCTTGTCCTATCAGCATGTAGCTTTGTAGCACATGAGCACAGCAGCTTATCAGGCCAACACCAATACAGATTTTGTGTATTAACACTTTAAAAATGCTTTT